GTGGCGGTCGTGGTCGCGGTGGTATGAGTACTTGATTTCGGGAAATTAATATCGCGCGACGTTAGGAGGAGGGAGAGACGTCACCGAAGAGAAACCGAACGAGGCCGGGGAGAAGGTGAAAGTGAACCTCTGTCCGCGGCCGTGGCGGCGGATGGTGCATAACCTAAAAATAAAATATCTCTCTCTCTTTCTCTCCTACTCGCTCGCTCGTCACGTCTACGTCCGTCCGCTGCAGTGCGTGGTCGCGCGCGCAGTAACGTCTTGCGTATCGCCCGTGGACCGTGGACCGTCGTGCGCGGCCCGCCGTAAGTAACCCTGTCGCGAAATCGCCCCGTCGTGGTATTCGGAGTGCCAGCTCGTCGTACCCGCGTACACCCGCATCTGTCACACACCGCTCCCGGGACACGTTCGCGTCGACATGACCGCGCCGAGACGGCCGCGGAGGTGCTCGCTGGGGGACGAATGACTTCGCGGAAAGGCCGCCGGCAACGTATGGAGAATATGGACACCACGGGCAACGAATCGGTGGGGGAACAGGCCGTTCCCGACAGCACAGTGCCGCGGAAGTCCTGGTCCGAGCTCCGCTCCGTCGTCGGCGATCTCAGGAGGAAACTGTCGGGGGTATCGGCTGGATCTGTACCGAGTTCCATAACTTTCCGATCGCTCCCAGACGGCCGGTGAGGAAAACACGCTCGTTTGCGTCGACACAATATCTTTGAGTTCACTCATTATCCGCTCAAAAGATTAACGATGCTCCGCTCCCCTTTTGCAGGACTAGAATCTATTTCCTTAGCACACCAAGTAATGGTTGGGAGACTACTCTTCTGTATGTGGATATTGCACACGCAGATCATGCCAATGGCTACCGATTACATTGGCAACCTGTCATAGAAGCGAATTTCCAGAGGTAAACACCACTACGGAGTGTCTTAGTAATGTCATTGCTGAAGTGAATCATTCAATATATTGTATAAGATGTATATTGTTTATTAACTCTCCAAGAGCATTTAGATTAATTATACGATGATTTTAGCGTATCAAGTGGGAACAGATTGTCGAAGGAAGAACAATTGTTGTGGGAAAGGAAGAGACTTGCTACGTGGGGTATAACTAGTTACGAGATCCACGCGGAGAGTGGAAAATTAGTCTTTCCAGCTGCCAGCAGCCTTTACCAATGTGTGGATACTGGATTTATGGTAATACCCGTGTGTTGTTGTGAATTAATGAAAGAAAGTATTTAATCTATATGTTTTTCCATCAGCCTGGACCTCTTTTTCCATCCGAAATCAGGATGTCGACGACCGGTGCGAAACTATGTCCTCAGATCTGTCCTTGGAATAACGCTTTGATCGCTCACACATGTTCGGGAGATCTGTATCTGTCTCACAGTATTACAGGTTCTTCAGTTCGGTTAACTCATGCTAGAAAAGGAGGCAGGAGTCTCGTGGATGATCCACTCACCGCCGGCACTCCTTCCTACGTTATGCAGGAGGAATTTACAAGGTTTAATCATTTGCTGTTAAATTCACATACTTATAACATAATATACATATAAAAACGCAAAAATTAAGGTATCTGTTCTATCTATAGGTATATTGGCTACTGGTGGCAGCCAAAGTCCATGTTTGATGGAATCTATAGGATAGTATATGAAGAAGTGGATGAGAGCGATGTTAAGATATATTGCTTCCCCTCGTCAAATTCGGATGAAGTAGATGAATTTAGATTTCCTAGAGCCGGTATGCCCAATGCTAGGAGTAACTTGAAAATGGTGCAGTTCCGTCTAACAGAATCATTACATATTGTCGATATCGAAATATTGGAGCTCCAGTATCCTCTTCACATTATGTTCCCATGGATGGAATATATGGTACGAGTCGGATGGACTCCGGATGCTCAATAGTAAGTTCGAGGAGAAACTCAAATATACAAAATCTTTTATTAATGTATTAGTACGGATCAATAATGTTACTTTGTTCATGTAGCGTCTGGGTGCAACTACTAGACAGAAAACAACAAAAACTCGAGTTAGTCTTATTGTCGATAGACAACTTTTGTGAACCACCGCCTAACACGTATAATACGGAAAATCATTTCACACCCACATCAGCAAGCGTTCAAGTGATATACTCTGAGCAGAGCCCGATTTGGATCAACGTGAACGATCTATTATACTTCTTAAAGTCCGACGACGCAAACGAAGTCAAATTTATCTGGGGGAGCGAAGAATCCGAGTTTCGACATTTGTATCTTATAACATCCAGTATAGCAGGTTTGTGACAATCCATTTCAATAGTAATATCATTGCTCGACGCATTTTTTTTACATACGTTTTAAATATAGGCTTAAGTAATGGAGTGGAAGAACCTTTGGATAGAATGGACAGTATATTTCTTCGGCCACGTATTACTTCCAAGATAGCTCTGACGCAGGGTGATTATGAAGTGCTAGGGAAGAAAATATGGGTCGACGAGGTTAATTCCATCGTCTATTTCTGTGGATTACGGGAAGGACCACTGGAGCAACACGTTTACGCGGTTTCGCTGCGACGGCCATTAGAAATACGGCTACTGACGCGGCCTGGCTACAGTTACAACAGTGTATATTTTAACAAAGAATGTACAATGCTCGTTACTGTTTATAGTTCCATTAAAACGCTGCCTACTTGTCAAGTACGTTCCTCGTAAAATACTTATATGCCTAATGATATTAGTTTTACACGATTAGTAACTTGTTTCGTCTTCAATTTTGCAGGTATTTAAAATATCACAAACCGATTGGACAGTGGAGAGCATATCGCTCACACCCGTAGGCTATCTCCTAGAACCATCGGCGCCCGAATCCGAGCTGTTTGCGCCGGAGATCTTCACGCATCAAATCAAATCGGGGGATACGGTCTACTCGATGATATTTAAACCTCATAATTTCCAACCTGGGGTCAAATATCCTACGATATTGAATGTTTACGGAGGACCCGAAGTACAACTTGTATCAAACACATTTAAAGTAAGTATTCTCCTTTAAAAACATATATACCGCTCAAAAATTTAGAATATCTCTAAATTTTGAAAAGAAAGTTTAATTAACTTTATTAATTTAAGTAAGAGAAATCCTATTATTAGTCAAAGGTGGTGCTTAAATATTTCAGTATGAATTTATATACATATCCAATTCTATAAACTGCGTGCCAAAATCTTTTTCAATCTTGAAACGCAAGTAATATCACATATTAAATTGACAAGTAATTTAATAATATTGATGCTATAATAAACTTCTTATAAGAATATTAATTTGATATTAATAAGAATTTAAAAAATTGCGAATAATTTATTGCGAAAAATATGCTCTCAGCCGTGATTCGAATCTGGCATCATCTCTCGCATTCCGTGCAAATATCTTTCTAATTCGACTACCAAGACTTTGGCAATATTTGAATATGTATACAAATTCACACTGAAATATTTAAGCACTAAAATCCGCTTTGATCGAAAATAGGATTTCTCTTACTTATGCCCATTTCTACCAATGCAGTTTAATTTTATGCTTAAATTCTAAGCAGAATCGTAAAGCTCGTAACATATTTCTGTAAGATTTGTAAAAATTTTTAAGTCCTTATACCTTTATACAATATTTTTGCAGATAGCTTCTTACTAGCCATAAAATTTGCAAGAAATCATAGATATTTACGAATAATCGTACGTCTTACGATACATACGCATAAAATTAGAATACTAGTCATAAGTTCTTATATACAAGTTTTACGAGAACACATTACGAGTCTTACGATTCTGCTTAGAATTGACTCATTAATCTCGGTTCAACTAATTCCTTATCTTTTTCTAGTTTTAAGAATAAAAAAAATGAAGAGTAAATTGAACCGAGATTAAAGTTAATCTACATTGGCAGAAACGGGCATTAATTAGATTTATTCTCATCGATTCAATTTTATGATTGTTTATATCTAACATTGTAAATGTACGAAGTAGTTTATATTGTTTTAATCATAAATTTTATTCCAATAGTGGACATATTCTAAAATAAAAATTAATATTTTTAATAACATAATTATATCTGTAAAAAATCATGTTTTTATTTAACAATTATAGAATGCTCTAAACTTTTGCACAGGAGTGTAGACGGTAGTTTAGACGATAGTTTGAATGGAATGTGCCTCACATAAAGTAAAAAATTTATGAATAACTTATGAAAAAGTACTTTATACTTACGAAGTAAAAAGACTTATTAATTATTTAATCCTCTGCAGGGTTTAAGACATTTACGAATGCACATGTTAGCTGCTCAAGGCTATTGCGTAGTTTTAATAGACTCCCGCGGGTCGCAGCATAGAGGTCTTGTATTCGAGAGTCATTTGCGACGTAGGATGGGAACAGTAGAGCTGAACGATCAAGTCGAGGTATTGAGATGGCTGGCAGAGACTACCGGATACATAGATCTAAATCGAGTAGCTCTTCATGGTTGGTCTTATGGTGGATACTTAAGTCTAATGGGTTTGATACAGTATCCTGATGTATTCAAGGTGCGCATAAATTAATGTTTATTGCATATTTTCTTAAAACTTAGAGTTAAAAAAATGTTCTCATCGCAATTCGCAGCTAGCCATTGCTGGTGCTCCAGTTACCTCGTGGAACTTTTACGATACCGGATATACTGAGCGTTATATGGACTTGCCACAGAACAATTCTCAAGGTTACATGGCCGGATCGGTCTTGACATATGTAAACAAGTTTCCTGACGAAGAGAATCGTTTGTTGATTATTCACGGTCTCATAGACGAGAATGTACATTTCTACCACACTAGCCAATTGATTAATGCCCTTGTGAAAATTGGTAAACCGTATCAATTGCAAGTTTACCCTAACGAGAGGCATAGTCTGAGAAGCTTAGATGCCAGCAAACATTATGAAACGACCCTATTATCCTTCTTACAGAATCATTTATGAATTGACGTTTTGTTTCCTTTTATTTTAATTTCTTTTCTTGTATTGTTAAATAATTCGTTAATAATCGTTCCTCCAAGTAAGAATTTGTGAGTTTAAGTAACTGCCATTATAATTTATGTACACACTTAAACATAAAACTCAAAAGGAAGAAATATCTTCAGAGGTGACAAAATATGTGAACTAGTTTCCATATAAAAGTGTGCCTCTATAGGGTTTTTAAGATAGTATTACATTTTTTTTATGTAAAATATCTGCAACAGCACAGTGTGAATATATTGTCATTAATTATCAAGGACGAACTTCTAGCAAGGAATTTATAACATATAACTTTCAAAAAAGTATATATATTGAATACATGAATTTTCAACGCTGCTGTCAAGATGCCACAAAACGCGCAATAAGTTCGAGGTTTTCTTAATCAGCTATTGTCAAAGCTTAGGATCGTGATAATATCGGTTAACTGTGACTGTTTTCTAAGAGAATAGACAATACTCAATTTACTGACAATAGTTAATCAGGAAGACTAACTCCAGTCCAGAAGCGTTTCTGTTTCGCAATATGATATTGAACTGTTAGACATTAATATACCAACTGTGACTATGTACATATATGGTACGTGACCTCGACACATGTATCCCTTTTATCTTTCTACGAAATGAAAATCCGCGTTTCAGCGAGAAAAGTATTTGCGTTTTTCAGTGTTATGAAATAATCGTATATCCGATGGATAATTATTTGTCAATAAATAAATTCATTATTTTATATTTTTTATAATTATTACTGTAAGCAGTAAATTGTAACTAATGTTATACGCAGTAATCATGTTATCTAAAACAAGAAATCATAAAAACTCGATAGAATGTTCGAAAACTAGTGAAAAAGACACAACTATTTATGAGAATTAAATTAGAATTTAATTGAATTTATTTGTATCAAATTTCAGCCAGATATAAACTTAATTTGATCTACGTTTAGTACCTTACTGTTTAGTTTTACGATTCAAGAATTTATAGAGATAACGTAGTCTCTTGTCCAATTCTTTCCACTTAGTGGGTCTCGCAACTGGAAATATACCTTTTGCCCACATTTTTCTCTTCCGTATTAAAACCTGAAATTCGTTGCCGCTGACACCTCTCAACCATGAGGGTACGTTGTAGAGAATTTTCGTGGGATGTAAGTTATCCGAGCCCAATATGTCAATATAGTCGTTCTGACCAAACAGTGCCTTCTTTTCGGACCAAGCGTCCGTTGGTCGATAAATCGGCATCGGGAGTCGTCTAGTGCTGTCCGTACGTGGTAGAACGCCCTTCATATCTATAGGATCTTTGTATCCGTATCGCCGTATCAAGGGACCTTTTGCTATTTTATCAGCATAATAGCGAAACCGTACCGGTGTCATCTGTGGCGTCCATGTGCTTATGACAGCGCGAACAGAATTCACGACCCAAGACATGGATTCTGGAAAGAAAATGAGATACATATCGAAAAAGAATGTATATAAATACACATATGTTTAATAAGATCTTAAATTCATAACTAGTCTTCTTTATGATATGATAGATTTTTATTAGTATTGATATTGAATGTTATATAATGTAAATTTAATATCAAGCCATCAAGACTTGTACACATCCTATTATGTATAGAATAAATATATAATAGAAATATATAATAAATAATATTATATATAATATAAATATATATATATACATATATGTATACACATACATGTATTGTCTAACAAACAATCCGTCATACAATTTGTTTTATAAGAAAAAAATGTGCATTTTATTCCAATGTATACGTGACATAACCTGATTTTTCGCGACAAGTTTCTTTACGTGGTGCAGACAATATGCTTAAGGAATTACAGATTATTAATTAAATGTTAATAAAAATTACCTTTTTTCAAATGCCACGTGCGTTAGAACTGTAAATTGTGATTTATGTAAACATCCGCTCGTATAATCTCCGTAACTCTCTAACCTAAATAAAAAAGTTGGGTTATGTATTAAGTATTAGCTGTTTAAAGCGCACGCGCAGTTAAACGCATTTGCGCGCGCACCTAATTCTATCCTACTTCGTTTCTTTTAATCCTTTTCTTAAATCTTTAGTAAGAACGTATATATATATATATTAATTTATAATAACGTTTTTTTCTTTATTGTACTTTTCTATCTTTCATCTTTTTCTCTTCAATCTTTATTATATCAATCTTTTCATTTCAAATATAATATGAAAAATAGACATATATGATACCTAATTTTATAACCTATGTATAATTATAAGTCCATAATGTATAAAAATATTTAAATTATATATATATACTCAGCTGTTGTTATACGCGTATCTTTTCTTACATCATGACATCAACTATTATAACATTGTTTTTTTTAATAATTGTTTATATGTTCTTTCTCTTTCTGTATTTATATAGTTAAATATATTAAAAAGTTATAGATAAACAGTATAAAATAGATAATTTAATTTATATAGATAAAATTGGGGATAATGCATATTTAAAATTTAGGAGATTACGAAAAAATAGAAAAATTGATATATATATATATATATATAATAGTGTCAAAACTAAACAAAACGGATAAAGATTTATTCCTTTCCACATTACGCTTTCTTATTTCGATAGCAATCGATAGCAGAATTTTTGCGAAATTCCATGTTACATCTGTTTGTCATAATCTATTTATTAAAAATACAAATATAATATATAAAAATGGAATGCAAAGAAATAACTAAATTATTAAATTAGAATTAACTAAATTATTAAATCCAAAAATAATTTACATGACTTGCTTGAATTGTCTTAATATAAAACGGTATTATAAAATTGATCAAAACAATTGGACATCCTACTATACGTATTAATTCGCTAGCGTGCAATTCGTTATAGAAAAAAGGAAGAACAAGATTATCACAAGTGTCCCGGCGGCTGTCATTAATGAACCTGCGAAAGAAAGAGATAAAAACTTAAGTGTCTTAGAAGAATTGGGCCGAATTAGTTTGTAACGGTGCAATTAAGCGCAATTAACCTTTAGAACATCGTTCTCCCTCTTTACACACGCACTGATCATTCTTACACTCCATGGTATCCGGAAACCTGTCACTTTCGTAGCACTCATAGTGGTACGAACAAGTGTAGTATAGAGCTGTAAAACAATAAAATAACATTGAAAATTAAATGGTAAATAAAATTCGAGTTAAATTCCCAAGATAATATATAAAAAAAAAAATTTAAACAAATAACAGGCAATTGGGAATTGGCGCTGTAAACGGTGCGCAGTTTTTGTTTCTTTAAAATATTCTATATATTGTATCAATATACTTGTATATACATGTTTCGGCTAATTTTAACCTTCTTCAGCAAAAAATTGGTAGATGAATTGAAAATTAATACATAATTCTCTCGAAAACCAAATTGATCAATTGCACAAAGCAGGAAGTAAAGAATTCGATGAAGCTATAATTCAATCGCGTAAAAGTTTATTAAAAGGCTTTTTATCTTTGAAGGTTTAATAAAACAGATTATATTTTTTTTTTTTTGAGAATTTTTTTTAAAAACCTTTAATACGCGATTTTATATTCTGCAAGAGATTTTTATTCTGAATAATGATCTAAAACAGAAATTTTAAAAAGTGTTCATTTATAAATAGTTCGAAGGAGAGTATGAATTTCAAATTTTCTGTAATTTTAAAAATTAATACTTTTCCACTCGGTTGAAAATTTTTATGTAAAAAACTTTTAATTTTTTACTGGCATTATTTTTTACTTGTCCTCGTTTTTCAAAATTCATGCTCTCCTTCAAATTATTTATAAATGAAAATTTTTTGAAAATTCTGTTTGAGATCTGGAATCGAGATATGCAGTTGTTTGTCAAGACCTGTTTTTTGTACCTTGTTTGAAGGCTAATAACTCTAATATGAAACTAATATAAATATTTCTATATTAAAGTTTGAAGATAGTTCAATAATAAACCTACAAAAGCTCACGAAAATCTGTAATACAGGTTTTTAAAAAAAATTTCCGAAAGAGAGAGAGTACGTATAGCTTTTTTTATTATTATATTATAATATTATATATATATATATATAGATTTCCAAAGATAGAAAATCTTTTAAAAGTTTCGGAGAGGCTCCAATAATACTTATCCATTAATTTTTTCAAGAGAGAGAGAGAGAGTTCCTTAATTTCCCTTTTTTTTCTTCTAACACAGAGATTGACGATCTCAATCAATTGTCCTTCTTCTCTTTTACAAAAAATAAAAATATAATGCGAGTGCATACCTCGACTCTGCACGCAGGTTCTTGTTTCGTTTACAAAATGATGTCCTGTGAAACATTCGCACTTCTCGTTGATGCACAACGCAAAATTGAAACTTTCCTGGCACATATTATCATTCGTATTTACGTGGCAATGATCACCGATTTTGGAGGGTCCTACAATATTTTTTCTTTCAACTATTTGCTGAGTGCGAAGACAAGACGTGATATCTGATTCTTTTCGCAACTCTTTTTTTGTATCTCAGTGTAAGTATCGTGATTTTTACTTACGCCTAATGCAGTTTGAAGAATTACGGTTGTCCAAAAAGAAGTCATCTTTGCATGTGCACGTATTCTGTTTACATTGGCCGTTTGCTATACTTTGACACTGTACATTATCCATACATCTCAGTCCAACAGCTGCAAATAAAATACAAGGAGTTTTATTACTATAATTTTAGTTGGCCATATATCATATTATTACGCACGAATTTTTTGATAAGTTCACTTTGAGTAGCCGAGTGACTATTTTTATTTTTATCTATCTAAAATACAGTTTTCTTTGTTTAAATATTTTCAATTCATAAAAGAACAATTTTGATATCTATTAAATATTTATTAATTTTTGTAAAATAAAAAGATATGTACACGTTTTTCAATATTTTGTTGAGCCACTATCGATTAATCTTAATTCTATATACGTATAAATATTTAAATTAAAGTTTACTCTGTGACAAATTATATAATTATAGACAAAATTTCCGTAATAAAAGTTCATATGTTTTCCTGGACATTGTAAGTAACAAGTGAATTATAACAAATGCATTTATTTCATAAATATATAATTCTTTTCTTTCAGTTATACTTTAATTGATTAAACAATGATAAATGGTTGTAATATTATATAAATTTGATTCTTAAAAATCAGTAAATTTTATAAAAAATATATGATATGTCTTATAATATGATTAGGAATTGTATTCGAAAAAGTCAACAAAGAAAATATAACAAGTAGACATACACAAAGAGATTTGTTAATGCAGCTTGTATAATGTAACCAAACAATCGAATCAAATTAATTTTTAAACAACATAAATTATGGAAAATTTTCAAAATATTAACCAAAACATAAACCATTAAAATTTTCGAATTGTATATGCGATATTGTCGCAACTAATTGTGTTTGTTGATTTGTCCAAAACGATGCTTCTTGAATTAATTTCCTTTTGCGCAACATTGCGATCTCTTTCTTAAGAGATAAGTGGTAGTGATAACGATACATAGTAAACTCACTGGCAGTACACTTTGATTTGTCGAGGCTCGGTGAGTAAAATGGATCGCATTGGCAAGTTTCTTGCCATCGGCAAAATGCATTCTCAATGCAATCGACATCTCTCTCGCATTTATCACCGACGAACGCGACAGTGCGTCCAACTAAAATGAGAAAAAAGTGTTCTAATAATTCGATTAATTATGAATTAAATAGCAGTGAATTTTCATTTGGAAATTAATTTCTAACGCAATTTGTTATCAGTAAGTAAGTGTTTTGATAACAATTGTTCAAAGTAAAGTGCCTAAAAAGTACATAAAAAATATCTAAAAATATCTAAAAGATTAAAACGTCTTTTAAAATTGAAATTCAAATATTGTTTAAGAAACTAAGAATTTATTTTAAATGTGTGTGAAAGATATTTAAGATCTTATAAAATCTTATATCTAGATCTTATAAAAGATGATTTAAGATTCATCAGATTTATTTTTAAATATTCTTTGAGAGACGTTTTAACAAAAAGACTCAAAATCTATATAGCTAAATCTCTCGAAGTTTTTCATCATGTGAGATATAATGTTACTGATTTGCATCGAAATTCAAATCTCGCGTAATTCGAGTGCACTCACAGTTCTGCTGAGAGAAGACGTAGCCGGTGAGCGAGAAGAGAATAAGGGAGATGCAGACGAGAGTCGTCATTGGAATAGGGATCTGTGTTCAGGTGCTAACGTGGGGCACATCCAGGTAACTGCCAGATATAGCGGGTTCACGACGCACCTTACGCTATGAAATGTATATACGCCCTCGTCAGATAAACGTCTTATCTCTAAGTGTATCTAGCGATATCCCGTTGAAGTGAATCAGAGGTTTCATTTATCGAGCAAAATGCGGTCATCATCGAATATTGACAAATTTACTCTTACTCAAGCAAGAACATTTTTCTTTCATTTTTGATCGACGATTTATTTTGCTATTCGCAACGGGAAGAAAAGATAATTCGAGCGTGTACTTAAGATCGCAACCAATTGCGGCTTGTGAAACACCTTGTGACGTTATCATTTCTCGATACTGCATTGTGTAAAATGAAAACAGAAAAACACGCCATGTCATCGATTTGCAAATTTGCGATCTGGCGATGGATTTTAAAGGCAATGGGAAATCCTGCATTACACTGACATGGAAAGGAAATCATTATAAAATATGTAAGTTGTATCATTATTATCATCATCGACAGCATTGTTTTTCATGTAGGAGCTGGATCAAGTTTTCAAATGCATACTTTTAGGTCATTACGTCACTTTCTACTTTCAATACAACCGTATAAAAACTTTCAGATATTAAGTAAATACCAAATACTGCAGAAGCAGAGAGATGTACGCACAAAATATAAATAATATAGATTAATAAGGCAACAATTTAATATAAAAATTGATCAATTTATTCGTGACAAATGCAATAAGAAAATGGTCAAAATCACAAAATTTAATATACCTCCTTTATAGTTACAACGATCACAACAAAAGGTACGTTCTGTGTGAGTTACAGCTGCTGTGATCTAATAGTTGCGATTTAATAAAATTCAATGTGTATTCTTGGACGGTCTTACTCTATATTTTTTATATAGAACTATAAACATATCTAATTATTATTACCAACATTATAGCAGTTATAACTATAAAAATGGAGCTTCTTTATTATTTTACCATATGATTATAGTCACAAATACCAAACTTTTTTCTCTCGTCAGTGTACATATTGGGTCATCATTTATATATAACTAGATTAAAATAAAGATCATGAGAAATCTGAGATCATAGAAACAGCTAACATTATTACTCCGATTTTTATATTTTGATAATTATTTCTTTTCTGGTGTCACTGTAAATTCGACAATTAAACGAAGAAAGTAATGAAACGATAATAACGACTTTTGATTAATTATGTGTTAAAGCGATTGACCAAGCATTCATTCAACGACTGCTTGCCGCAATAGCAATTCTACTAATTCAACCTCATCAGATTCATTATCATTATGATTACTATGTGAAACGTGGCCTTACACTCTCACTTGCACTCTTGGGCGACATTTTCGTATATCTCGTCTAATTCACGGTGGCGATTTGCATTGCAAGTCGCATTTATCTCACTGGTAACTCGTAGAATGCGATGTGTTTTCGGAAATTACGAGGAAATGAAGGAAGCGGAGGCAAATACTTGTATGAATATTTCACTTAACACGTCAGTGGATCTCTATAAACAATACACATAATATCATCTGCACATGTCAATATTTATAAATAATACATTATGTACATATATATATATATATATATATAGTAAATTATTATCGCGATTGTATATAATAATGTTCGTAGTTATTGATTATTAACTTTCAGTTAATATCGTAACAGCGAAAGCTATATTATAGTTTCGTTTAAATCTAGTTTCATCTGGTTTTCATGTTATAAGAATTGAAATTGATTGAGGAAACAGACTGAGAACGATGAAGTAAACGAATTAATGAATACACAGAATAAAATAAACGATGCAGTAAGTGGAAGAACGAAAAATGTGAAACAATTATAAGATATAGTAAAAAAAATAATACAGTGCAATATCAAAATAACTACAATTATAAGATACGACAAAATAAGTGCGAATAAAAAATATTGAATGAACTCTTTGCGAACACAAAAAAAAAACGATTTTGCTCAAAATATCTAAAAAGCTGCAAAAATTTTGATATTCTGGCAACTAGTTTGAATGTGCTACATAATTATTTCGGTGGTTTATAATTATTTTTAGATCCGTATTGAACTAAATTTTTAGATATTTTAGCAAAATTGTTTAAAATTGTATTTGTCTAAAACTAAATTTGCTTCCAAGAAAGAAATTATAGTATAAAAAATGTATTAGAAAAAAGTTAAATTACAAATTATATAATTAACAAAATATATATGGAGACGTTGGAATTCTGCTAAAATTAACATTTAGCGAATATTTTGAAACACAAGGCATTTATTTCAATGTGTATAACATAAATATGTGTTTTTGCTTCATTTTTCTATTTAAAAACAGATATTTCTAACTGCTTTTAAGAATCTCTACTTTGTTTTTATTTGTATGATTTAGTATATAATAATAACAGTAATAATAATTTTACTGAAGTGCGAGTGATATTAAATATTCTATATAGAAGCAAAAATATGAATAGAAAGTTGCATCTCAAGAGATAAGGTATCAGTAACAATGTTGCTTACAAATCTAAACCTTTAATATAATTAAAATAACAATAAAACAATAATACTAACATGTGAATGTGTAACAATAAACAAACATATAATTTCATACATGATATTGTAAAAAGTAAAATAAATCAGATATTAATTTAAAAGTGAAAAACAATATAACAATGTAACAAAGAAATTAAAGACAAGTCAACTAATAAAATATTCGATATATGTAATAAAAATCGTAATATCACATCATAATAAAAAAAAAAAAAATGAAATAACTCTGCGTAATGTAATTATGTTATATAACAATTATAAATGGATACGATGTTTAAATGTATTTTTATAACTGCTAGCGCGCGAAAATGCCGATCAGATTCATCGATGCCTGCGATCCGTTCAGAGCTGGGAGAAAATTAACGCCGTTATAGTGGGAGAGAACAGGCACACAGAGAGGAACAAATACAGAAATGTGTTAGCGAGTGAGTGATCGCGGGGTGAGAGACAGCAAAACGGGACGAGAAGGAGAACTTTGGTTCTTCGCATTCACGTTCACCAGTCGCGCGTGCGATGCCAACGCTTGATCGCAAACTAATCGCAGACCGACTTCCATGTCTGAGTCACTCGCTTACAGGTAGATTGAAGGCTTGGTGAGAGAGATAAGTTGCATCGAACTAGTTTCGAAAGAAAGAGAAGAAATGAAACCGGCCAACATGAGAGTGTGCGTGGTACTGGTGCATGTGGTACTGGTAGCAATCACGCTGGCTAACGGAGACAAGATCGGTGAGTATGCCTTCTTCTCGGGACCAATGCAATTGATTTGCTTTGCTAATTCTCCGAGAGCTTGCATGCCGCGCAACAGAATAATTGCAAAGAATTTTCCATCGCAAATTTTTGCGTCCCGCGAAATTTGGCAGCACAATTTTGAAGCATGTACACATATTGACATGATTACAGCGAACAAAGATAACGTTTGCACATAAATATTGTATCGTAGAGTTCAAAACATTCGGGTGACCTTTTCTTCTAAGAATTCGCTCGGAATTTTCCTGTTATTTGTCCCCAAGCTCTTTGTAAATCTAAATTAATTATAATCTCAATTATAATTGTGTGATTTGAAATATATTTTGCGATTTTGCGATTTTGCGATAAATTTAAAATCTATAAAAATACGCTTACTAAAAACAAATTGTTATTAATATTTTAAATAATTCCGAGTGACGTTTAATATTAATAATTAATATATATAATTAATATTAAATATTATATTAAAATAATTATATCAACATTAGTTAATTAATAGAATTGATATAGTGAAGGTCATTAATAAGTTTAATTAGTCTGATTGAATTGTATTACTTAAATTATTAATTAATAATAATTAAATTCCTTTATCTAACTTAATCAGCTTCAAATTATATCTCATACAATGTTTAGCAACTTATAATGAGTATACTCGATCATAACATTTAGAATTTAGATTATTCTAACATGATATTAAATATGCTGATCAACGGTTTATGAATCACATTATGAATCACATTATTACGAATCATAATATTATAATACTTTTTTATCAAAAAGTACCATTTTCGCTTATGTGCTTATTACTTCTACTACTTAACACATTTGTCTATTAAATAAGTGAAACATTCTTCAGATGAAGTATCCACATTTCTTGGGAGATATCTATATGTGCACAATGCTTGTACCTACTTTTCAAACTCTTTAATAAATTTATGTCGCGACAAAAAAGTTTTACCGTGACACACGCATACTGTAATTATGTACACATACAATTGATCATTGATCATAACATTAACTTAACATCAATTTCGAATCTAACAAACGGTCGCAGGTTATTCAGACATAAACACTTTTTGCTATACCAAAACAGCTTTATTTATCTTGGTTGGAAATTTTCCACTGTTTGCAAGTCTGTAAATTGGTTTGCGTATCTGGGGCAAATTGAACATTTTAAATACACCTTTGATTGAATCGGTCATTGCTAAGCAACATGTTTGCGCGTTTTTTCAAATAAAAGATTAAAGAAATTTTTATCTATTTTTATTTAATTTTATTTATAGAGCAAATTTGAAAATACACACTGATCAAAAAGATCCATTTCGACGCATTTCATTGTGTATTTTCATTATACATCTTATTACATAGTCTATGATTATAATTATAATCAATTTTTTTGAGATAGAAAACAAAAATAATATCTAATACAATAATGATGAACTGAACAACAACCTTTATCTTTCGTTGTCAACAAAAAAAAATTTTTTTGCAAAATTTCTTTTGTTTGAGCTTTTTGAAAAGACCGATTCAATTGCAGATACACCTATCCCGTGTAGAAACACGTCAGATTGTAGGAATGTGTCACTTCTGGGGAACGCTTTTTGCCAAAAAGGATTTTGCATGTGTCCGAGACTAGACAATGACGCTGAAGCTTGCTCTAGCATTAATGCATCTATGCACAAGAATAAAACTTCAGGTGATATGATCAGAAAAACAACTCGAATATATTAGAGTTCTTAT